CCCTGACCTGTGGTTAGTGACACAAAGAAGATGATGATCCAGCTCCATCCCATGGTGAGGACCTGTGTGCTCAGTGACTGTGGAGAGGACACTGCTCATATGTTGGTGGTGTGGACATCCCTGTATTTACCACTATAGACTCACCTAATTTACATATTCATGAGCAGGGTAGTTCTTAGATAAGGCCTATTCCTGATGGAGAAGAAGACAGAGGACACCTGTGTCAGGCAGCAGGATCTTGAGGTTCAAGTCCTAATCCTCTCTGAGCATATGTACAGCATCCTTCTTCCCTGGGCTCTCTGCAGATGCTGAGGAAGTAACATCAGGACCTAAGATCTCAATAGATTTCAGGACTGAGACAGTGTCTCCAATGTGTGACAAGGTTAACACATTGATTTCCAGATGTTGACTATGATGATGATGATGACAGTGATGAAGAATTCAAAACCTGCTGAGTTTGAAATTTACAGCCTCTTTTCAGATACATGCAATTAATATTTTCTTTTCCAAAAGATTATTTACTAAGAAATTCCCCCAAATGAACCAAAGCAAATATACTTCAGAAATATTTACACCACAATGATTATTGCAGCAGCATCACAGTAACTAAATTATGGAAATAAACTGTGCATCTGTCAACAGAGAATCTCATCAAGAAGACATGGCCATATAAACAACACAACAGAAGTTTTTCATCTACAAGGAAGGTGGAACTTAGTTTAGTGATAAAAAATGGAAGCAACTAGAGATAAATGTACTAATTAAGACTAGACATTAAAGGAGACTCTCAAATGTAATTTTTAGATATTGCATGCTTACAGACAATTATGAATACCAATGCATGATGAAGTATAAGTGAACTTGTCTAGTAGAATACACATAAATTAGGAGAGGAAAGAAAATGAAGGATAGAGATGATGGGGGAAAATACATTGTATGAAATACATGAATATGAAAATTCTAAAACAATGAAAATTGTTATTTTAAAATTTTATATCTCATATTATTTGAAATTTTAATCTGTGTGAAAAACTGAGTATGATCATATCTCTACCCACTATGTCCCTCTAGTTCCTCTTGTGACCTTCCAATAAGTCTCTGTACCATTTCATAACAAGTTTTGTTTCTTTAACAAAGAACACAATGAATCCAATAGATTCTATCTATACACACACAGGTGGAGTCTTTCACTAGTACACCAGAAGCCTCCAGAAAACTTCCAAATAAAACTAATATTATTTTCCTGATTGGTCATCAATGCAAATAGATTCCCAGCTGAGTGTGGGTCCTCAGGAGTTTCTCTCCATCCATGTAATAGTTTTAAAAATTGTTATATTGTCTTTAATGGTGTGAACAGGAGAGACACGCACCAGGGTGTATGTGTGATCCTCAGAGGACAACTTATGGCATTCAGTTCTTGTGTCCTATCATGTGGGTCCAAGCAAACAAAATGAAGTTGCTAAGTTTGCCAGTGGACCCATTTACCTACTTAGCTACTTCACAGGCTCTGACAAAAGAAAATGTACTCAAAGGTATTTTAAAAAATGTATTTTTTCCTATAACATTGTGCATTTTATTTAATTGGTCTTTTGCATGTGTTTCATGGTTACAAAGTTGTGTTTTTGTATTTTGTGTGTGCTTGTGCGTAAGAATATTGACTGTTTTGGTCAATATTTTTGTTTGGTATTTCCTTTCGTAATTTTTTTGTTTATTTGTTTTATCTTTGAGAGAGAAAGACACGATGTAGAGTTGGGTAGAACAGGATACACGAAAGATCTAGGAGGAGTAGATGGAGGGGAATCAGTGATCAGAATATTTGTAAAAATTTTTTCAAATGTAAATAAAACTGAATAAAATAAACAAGAAAATATACACCCATAAAAGTTTAACAAAAACTCTTGACTGTGAGCATGGAAACATCACATGTCAACAACAGCAGGTGCAGGTCAGCTGGTAGACTCCAGAAAGGAAACCACAGAGGACACAGAGTCCCTCCACATCGACCCCATCTCCCTACTGAGGATTCTTGGCTCCATTGCGCCCCCTGCAGGTGCTGGTCTCCCCTGCAGATTTGTTTGTCATTGCTTACAGTCAAGTTGCACTGGATCCCTTGAGCAATATATCTCTGCAACCTCAGTGCCCACAGAGCTCAGCTACAGGGATAAATGGCTCTTGTTTAACAGGAGATGCTGACGCTTCTTTGAGAGATTGATTTAAGTTTGGCCTGTATGGTCATCAATGTCCCTCTCAATGCCAGTCTTCTCTATGGTGGACCCAGTTCTACCAGTTCCCACAAGTAATAAAGAGACTCGAGGAGAGAAATGGGTCTTTGCAAACTTCATCAGGCTTCAACTTGGAGAGAACACCTGAACTCAGAGAAGCACAATGAATCTTGAGCTCAGATGTAATCCCTCATATATCCATGCATGGATTCCTGCGACACTCTGGTACAGGAGTCAAGAGAAAGACGAGGCAACACTTTAGTACTCGCAGACCAGTTAACAACTTGAGAAAAATATATTCACATGAAGAAGGAGGTAAAAGTCAAGTCAGTTTAAACTGGGACTCCATATATTTTCCATTCCCCCATCAGTATCAATAAAACATGGCAAATCATGTTGTAGTAAGATTATTCACCACCTATGGTTTTTGGCTTGGAAAGGAGACACAGCATGGCAAGGAGAGTCCTCAAAGCCCATAAAGGAGCCGGAGACAACCTCTGTTCCTACTGTGAGGATTCCAACAAGAGGACCAAGGTACACAGCTGCCACATACATGCCGAGGGTCATGGTCATTTCCTTGCAGGCTCCCTGGTTGCCTGTTCAGGCTCTGTGAGACCCTATGATCCAAGGTTAGTTGATTCTGTGAGTTTTCTTGTTCTGTCCTTGATCCCTCTGACTCCAACATTTCTTTCTCCCCCTCTTGTGTTGGGTGCTCAGTGGGTCTGCATCTGGTTCCATAAGTTAGTGGATGAAGCATCTCTGATGTCAGTTGGGCTAGGCACATATAAGTTCAGCAGAATTTTAATTCTCCATACAGTTGCTCCTGGGGAGCAGAGCTGAACTGTAACAACTTCTCTGGGGAAGCCTTTCCTGCCTAAGCAGAGCTGATACACATGGGAAGCCTTCCCTGTAGCAGGGCTGTAAGCAACTATGCTTACTATGACCTGTGCTGTGCCTTGGCTCCCTTACCTGTATGTATCTATTTCCTATCCTCCAATTGACGAAGGAGAGGAAATATATTTTACAAGATTCCTCAATGATTGTGGTATATGTCCTTAGACAGCTCTCTCTATTTCTCTCTCACTTTCTCTCTGAATTTCTCTCTATATTGCTCTCCTCTCTCTCACTTTCTCTCTACCCACCTCTCTCTCTCTCTCTCTCTCTCTCTCTCTCTCTCTCTCTCTCTCTCTCTCCTATTCCAGTTCCACTCTCCTCTTATTCTTGGACATGGCATGTGTTATTAAACCTCACCAGGATTTGAATGTGTTCATTCGTGAAAGAAGGATTTGCAAGGTGCTTCCAGGAATAAGAAAAACCAATATAACAGTGTATAATGTTCTTTCCAATTCAGTATAAATCTATGAATTATTGTTATACATATTAAAACAAAAATATATGCTACAGAGAGTCAGCTGACCCCTGTCTGTTTTGCTCTAACTTCAATATCATGAGTCAGATTCAACTAATGTTACAGAAGAGAGGCAGCTGGAGCCAGTCAGTTTCACAGCTTCTGTTCTACCTAAACCAAAGTCTCTGAATGTAATGATGTTGGCAATGAAATCCACACGGGCTGTTGGAATCCCCTCAGTGCACAACATTTTTATCAGCTCCTGATACCATTTACTTCTAGGGAGTTTTTGGCTCTACAGCACTGTCTGCTGCTTTGGAGAATATAATATTATAAGTTTTCTATAGGCTCATGTGTCTATAGGCACAGTGCCCCAACCATTGCTCTTCCTTCTGTCTTCATTGTCTACTGTTCTGTTGAGTAGATATTCCAAAAAAGAATGGTGAGCTGCACCTCAGTTGTTTTCCAGATTCCTGAAACCTCGTCTGTTCTTAAGTGTTTTGGATCTAGCTTTAACAATGACCTCTGATGATGAACTGAATTGATAGACAACACAGCTGATAGACAGTTTCTACAAGTACTCTACCAGGCAAAGATCTAAACTCTGTAGAACAAAGATGGACACCAGGTATCTAATGGCCTCTGAGAGTTGATGGTGTATCAGTACTGGTCCATGTTCTGCAAAGGCTTGAGACTGTGGGACATGTGAATGATACTGGGAAGGAAGTAAACATGGGACCAGAGAATAATGTATGATCTCAGAACCTACATCAACAAGCATGTACATACATTGATTTGATTAATTATTTTTGTGAAAAGTAATGTAATAATACCCTTTAAAAACTCACAGGAATTATAATTGTGTGGCATTGCATTTTGATAAAGACCTCACATTCTAAGAGACTGGAAGTTCTGCTGGACCACACAGACAGACTTACTGATACCCCTGATGTCATGTAAAGCTGCAGACTATGAATGGACTGTTGTTTGCCCCGATGCAAGTCTTAAGACTTCCCGAAGCAAATTCATATTTTAGTGGTTTATCAGCTTTACCAACAAATCTCCCAATCTCATAGAATCCAGAGGTACTTTTACCATAATGCAAAATCACACTTTATATTTTTATTGTTTTATTAATGAAGAAACATGTCAACAGATGTGGTCAGTGGTGAAGAGACTGTCAAGATATAATGTACAATCGGGCATCCTAAATCAGCATCACTTCATCCACAGTTGTAATTTTGACAAGTTGTGGGACTGTGTGAAGAGACAGACAAAGGGACAATCAGAATGTTTATTTCTAAGCAAGTTTCCAGTCTGATTTTCTGTGTCATCTCAGCTTCCTGCTCCTCCATGGTTTCTGACACACTCAGGATGTGGTTGAAACACTGTGTCTCTCGCACAGTAATAGACTGCAGAGTCCTCAGATGTCAGCTGCTGAGCTCCAAGTAGGCTGTGCTGGAGGATGTGTCTGCAGTCAGTGTGGCCTTGCCCTTGAAATTCTGAGCATAGTCAGCACCACCACTTCCACCATAAATCCTTCCAATCCACTCCAGGCCCTGTCCAGGCTTTTGCTTCACCCAGGTAATAAAGTAATCAGTGAAAGTGTAGCCTGAAGCCTTGCAGGACAGCTTAACTGAGGATCCAGGACTCCCCAGAACAGGACCAGACTGCTGTAGGTGGACCTGGGAGTAGACACCTGTGGAGGGTAAGGAAGACTGGGCGTCATTGTTACCTCAGTGTCTATCTCCTCCCAGGTTCAGAACTTGGAGCTCCTTACCTGAAGTTACTGACAGGAGGAAGAGGATGATCCAGCTCCATCTCATGGTGAGGCCCTGTGTGCTCAGTGACTGTGGAGAGGACACTGATCATATGTTGTTGGTGGTGTGGACATCCCCGTATTTACCACAATAGACTCACCTGATTTACATATCCATGAGCATAGAACTTCTTTACATAAGTCCCTTGTCAAGTTTCAAAAGCAGGTAGAGGACACTTGGGTCAAGCAAAGGATTCAGAGGTCCAAATCCTGTCTGTAGAAATGCATCCTTACCCTTCCCTCAGATCTGTGCAGATGTTGTGGGTGAAACATCAGGACCTAAGCTCTCAGTGGATTTCAGGCCTGAGGCACTTGCTCTGCTTTGTGATAAGTTTGTCAGATTCATTTACAGGAGGTTGTTATGGTGATGATGGTAATTACTGGAGATTTCAATATCTAATAAATTTTGAGTATTTACATCATCCTTTCTGACACGTAGAGTTAATATTTTCTACTCAAGAATGTTGCATACAAAGAACTCACTGAATTGACCTAAAGGGAACAAACTCAGAAATATTTGCCCACTGATGTTTATTGCAGAACTTTTTTTTTGGTTTTTCGAGAAAGGGTGTCTCTGGGCTTTGGAGGCTGTCCTAGAACTATCTCTTGTAGACCAGGCTGGTCTCGAACTCAGATATCCACCTGTCTCTGTCTGCCGAGTGCTGGGACTAAAGGCATGTGCCACCACCATCCAGCTATTGCAGCACTTTCTACAATGAAGGATACATTTGAAAGGTGTTTCCAGGGATGAGAGAAGCCAAGATCACTTACAGGATTTTGTGTATATGTCTGCTTAAATATCAGAAGCATAACTGCAAATATAAAGTCAAATATTTGTGCAACTGAAAGCCAGGCTATTCCTTTAGATTTTTTTCTAGCTTCAGGATTGTTAAGCAGTTGTTCTTAACATTACCAGAGAGAAGCAGCTGGAACCAGTCAGTTGCGTGGCTTCTCTTCTAACATTGGTTAGAAGTGGTATGATGTCCGGGGGACTTTAATTTCAGAGGGCTGCAGTCTCTACACAACACCTCCTTAAAGAAGATTTATCCCAGCTGGGCGTTGGAGGCACACGACTTTAATCCAAGCACTTGGGAGACAGAGGCAGGAGGATATCTGTGTTTAAGGCAGCCTGGTCTCCAGGGCGATTGCCAGGATAGGCTGCAAAGCCACAGAGAGAAACCCACTCTCAATAAACAAAAAAGAAGATTTATCCCTACAAGTCAGGGTGCTGGATGGACTTACCCTGGAATTTCAGCTTCTTCTGCTCTGATCTGAGCAATGTCTATAAAAAGGATTCACTTCAAAGTCCATTATGGTTCTGTGCTGATGGCTCTCATGGTGACAATGTACAGGAGTCTTTTCCTTCTTCCTCTGTGTGGGTTCACAGAGACAGCCTCCTCTCACAATGGAATTCATTCACAAAAGTCTGGTGGGATGGTAGAGAGATGGTGTGAGTGCCCTCTCCTGAGGTAGATTAATGTGTCACGATGTGTGCTGAGTGGGTGCAATGTGTGTGAAACTGTGTAGGGTTTTCATTGAAAATATGCACACATTGATTCCTAGCATTCTCAGCCAAACGTCACTCTGAGGATCATTTCTCACTTCTCTGCCTGGACCTCTTTCACTAATCATAAAAACCAACAGTTTCTTCAGTTTCTGAGCTATATTTGATGCTGCTGAACCACTGAATGTCCCAAGTGCCACTTGCACTATCCCTGGGTCCCTTTGCAGACAGGATTGTATCTGGGACCTGGATCATAACGTCTCATTCTGATTCTCCAACAGATGGAGACACTATGGTGTCCTCCGTGGTCAGATATCTCATCTGAAACAAGAAACAGTACAGATGTGTTTCTGGAGATGTCTGGAGTGTCTGCTCTGCAAGTTATGTGTGGAGATGTTTACAGATGACTTCTACACTCCATTCCTCCATTACATCATGGGTCAGCATTGTGAGAGAAGCATGTCTCCTGATGAAACACCTAGACTGTTCAAATCAAGGGAAATGTCTGTGAAGACTTATTAGACTTGGACACCATCTTTAAGTTCTTATGGATGGGATACCTGATATCAAATCAACCACTGAAAATCATGAAAAATGTGCAATCCTATGAGAACAATCATGAGAAAGAGGTTCCACATTAATGGTCTTCTTCATTGCTTATGAAGCTTTATAGTTCCAGAAAAACACAAAATCAAATATAGGGTGTAGATACTGCCTGTCTGTTGTCAAGAGACTTCACTTAAGCAAGCCATTATATGCTTTACGTGGGGGAGGCATAAGAGTTGGAAAAACAGGATTTTGACAAATTTTAAGATTCATTAACATTTGATCCCGGTGACAACAGCAGCCAATTCTGCAATCAGGGGTTATTTGTAGCATTTAGTTTATTTAGACCGTGTGTGTGTGTGTGTGTGTGTGTGTGTGTGTGTGTGTGTGTGTGTGTGTTTTCATGGAGCGAAAACAGAACTCTGTTTTTTCCTTCCTTACAGACCCCAAATGCAGAGAGCATTGTGTGAAAACATCAGATGGAGTGCCAGCTGAGACTGAGAACCCAGGAACACTCAGTTACATCTGCAATGTGCTGGTTTTCCATGTGTGCAGTGCGCCCCCTGCTGGTTCTGAGCGCTCCTGCAGGGAGGTTTGTGTCAGGTTCACACTGAAGTCCTCTCACTGTCTGCAGCACGGTAATAAATTGGGTGTCCTCGGATATTAAGCTGTTCATTCGCAGGTAGAGGCTGATTTTGGAGTCATCTCTTGAGACGGTGAATCTGCCTTTCACGGACTCCCCGTAGCTTGTTGCATAATTATCAGGTTTGTGCTTAATTCTTCCCACCCACTCCAGTCCCTTCCCTGGAGCCTTGCAGACCCAGTTCATCCAGGCATCACTGAAGCTGAATCCAGAGGCTGCACAGGAGAGTTTCAGGGAACTTCCAGGCTGTACCAAGTCCCCACCAGACTCCACCAGCCGAACCTCACACTGGATGCCTGCAAACAGAGAATTCTGTGAGTACACACTCATGGATGTCCAATAACCCTCTCACTTACATTTGCCCAAACCTTTAGTATCTCTCCTTATGTATAAATTACCTTTCAACAGAGCCACAAGGAAAACCCATCTCAGTATCAAATCCATGCTGAGTGTTGAGTGTTCAGTGATGACCAAAGAATAGGAGGACCTGTGAGTCCAGACCTGGGTGCCTCTGTCAGAACTGTAGGTTCAAGACTGGTTTTCATGGGCAGAGGGGGACATAATTTGCATGTCTTCCTGCTATGTCATGAACTCAGCGCCAGGAGCTTAGTGGAGACAAATAAGGGTGCAAATGACTGAGATGAAATAAAGACCAAAGTGGAGTTTATGGTATGAAAGCATCACTTACTCTCCAGGGCCACAGGTTAGTTGGTAGAGTATTGTTTTGCATTTTTGAAGCCATATGTTTATTCCCAGGACTGCATTGTAGACAAGAGAATGGGGCAGGGGAATCAAGGGTTTGAGTTATGCTTGGTCTGTATTGAGCTGTTTGTCAGGAGGAAGAGTGATAAAGAATGAATAAGAAAAAAAGAAAATTTACTTAGTATCATTTTAGGTTTTAAAAAAGAAATACAACTTTTCAGCCTTAATTTATTGTTCTCTTTTATAATTTTTTTCTTGTCTTTGTGAAATAATTATGTATTTAATAAGAAACTCAGAGAAACAAAACGAAACCAAAATCATTTTAAAAAAATGGGTCAGTGAATAGTGAAAGCATTTGTTAAGCTGAATTAACACATTGTTGCTGAGTGGTACAGCATATCAGGCATAAAGGTCCACTATTGACCCTCAACAAAACAATAGAACAACTATATGAATATAAACATTGTGGTTCTGCTTTAACAATGATTAAAACACATTTTGATGACCTGTATTTAACATTTAGCTCCTCCAGGAGAGACCTTCCCCAACTACAATAAAGACCTGCTCTTCTGTGACCTCCCTAAAACACCCGATGATTAGAGGAAGAGGAGAGACAGGAAAAGTATTATGTACGGATGAAGAAGTCATGAATTTGAGAGTGAGCATGAGTTGGACACAAGAAGAATTTGAGTGGGGATATTGTCAATATAGGTGTTCACTGATAAAAATCTCCTCAAGATCTGGTTACTGAATGAAAACCAACAAGGATCACATCATTATATGATATTATTTGGAAAAATTGACAAACACTATGTAAGACTGTTAGGAGTAGGGTAAAAATGGGTCACACAGAATGATTATTTCTGTGTAAGTATCCAGGCTCATCTCATCTGTCTTCTCAGCTTCCTGCTCCTTCATGGTTTCTGACACACTCAGGATGTGGTTGAAACACTGTGTCTTGCACAGTAATAGACAGCAGAGTCCTCAGATGTCAGGCTGTTGAGATCCATGTAGGCTGTGCTGGAGGATTTGTCTGCAGTCAGTGTGGCCTTGCCCTTGAATTTCTGATTGTAGTCAGTATTACCATAAGAAGGATTAATTCATCCAATCCAATCCAGGCCCTGTGCTGGCTTCTGTTTCACCCAGCTCATAAGATAGCTGGTGAAGGTGTAGCCAGAAGTCTTCCAGGACAGCTTCACTGAGGACCCAGGCTTCACCAGCTCAGCCCCAGACTGCTGCAGCTGGACCTGGGAGTGGACACCTGTGGGGACAAAGGCAGAGTGGATGTCACTGTCACCTGACTGCATGGCCCCTCCTCAAGAATGGAACTTGGAGCCCTTACCTGTAGATGCTGTCACCAGGAAGAGGATGATCCAGCTCCATACCATGGTGAGGACCTGTGTGCTCAGTGACTGTGGAGAGGACACTGATCATATGTTGTTGGTGGTGTGGACCGCCCTGTATTTACCACCATGGACTCACATGATTTGCATATTCATGAGCAGGGTGCTTCTTAGATAAGGACCTTGTCCAGCTGGAGAAGGAGGAGGTGGAGGACACCTGGGTCAGTCAGCAGGATGCTGAGGTCCAAATCCTCATCCTGTCTGAGGAA